CACCTCACCGCACAGACTCCATAGGAAATGAATGGAGAGCGAGCGACGTTGCCTCCTGTGTGTCGAGCCCTTCAGGCTGGAAGTTGGATTATTGAAGTGACCAACAAACTACTACCTCTTAAACTTATAAAACAGATTTAAAGGTTGTGTTTACTGATGGGAAATAAAATGTCTTAACTATTGTGAATCAACATTATACAAAACTACCAGCTTACAGAGAAGATACACTTAAGGTAACTTTACTAAACAATTCAACTCTTGACTGCTGTGGTTTGTTTCTGGACCAGGTGTTTGTGTTTCATCGCGTTTTTACCTGGAATGACTGAACGAAGCTCAGCACTTTGAGCGAAAGCTTTCGGCTCGAGTGGAGAAGCTCCTGAAGGCTGAAACGAYGACAAAAAAAGTTTCAGTCTGACGCTGCAGCACCAAACATCATGACTCTAACATTTTCTGACAATAAGCAAAAGGCACGGTTGCTGGTTCTACCTCTCGCTGCTGCACAGTTTGTGCGAGGCGATCTTTCGACACACTCTGCGATTGAGCTCTGAGCTGAAGAGGGGCATGCCAAAGCACAGCTCAAGGGGGACCCACTCATCTTCAGACGAAGGTGCTGAGAGAGAAAAACAAAAAGAGTTCGAGCGGAACAACGTGAAACTCAGCACGGAGGAGGAAGTCCTGGTTTTATCACATTTTATCTGCAACTGTCTGATCTCTTTATTAATTCTCCCAGCTGAATAATTAAATCTGATTGAATTCAACTTGAAAATACTCTAAAAAAATAAAATGAAATACACTCACTTTCCGTCTTTCCTTTGCCTTCACCATTCTCTTCTGTCACCAGCTCAAAGGACTCGGTGCTGCCGTTGGTGTCCAGGCCTCCTCCGAGGTGAGTTTCTCCTTCAATAGAACCAACAGATTCAGATCAGGTCAAACAGCAGCGCCTTGATACAGAAATGCATCACTTTTTACATCATTTATTGCCTTTTGCTGGCCTAATATTGGAGGCTGGTCTGCCAAATCAAATATTCACAGTCACATGCATAAATATCTGTGTTAATGAAATCTGCCGCGCTAAGATTCAATCCTAAGGCAAAGACCGTCTCGTCCACGTCCATTAGCAAAGGTTATCACAAAACGGCACACAATTATGCAGACAAACAGCATAATTAAATTGGACTGTGAGCAATATTTATCTAATTTGCACCATTATTGTCAACAGTGCTTACAGGGAGGGGAAAAAAACTTTGCTGCTGATTTAACTGTGTGTCTTCTGTTTGGGTGCGCCGACACACACTTGTTCAACTGTGTGTGTGACAGTTTACCTCCACACTCCCCGCTGTCACTGGGCCTGCGGCGGTGCCTGTTGTTGGAGTTGAGCATGGTGACGTAGCCACACTGGTGCTTCAGATCCACGTGCTCCTTCAGCTGCTGCAGAGCCTTGTGCACGCACATGTTGGAGTAGGAGAACTCTGCACAGACAGGATGAWGCACACATGTCAAATGGTCTGTAAATAACATGAATTTCCCCTCATTTTGCAGGTACACAGACGTTTAGGGCAATTTTATGGATTTTTTTTGTTTCAAAAACTTTTCTTCAAATTTATYTGAGTCTCATAGCCGGCGGGCTGTAAGGAAAAAAGTTTGCCACCTCCTCGTCCTTCCACACATACTCTCTCCGCTTGTTCACTCCAACCCCACCCCCCAGGCGATCATTCTTCTTCTCTATGATCACATCCCCCTGGCTGTGGAACTCCTGCAGGTGCGTGCATTTTTTTCTTTTTTTTGGTCAAGACACAGGTAAATGTTCGAAGAAGGTGACGTGTGATTAAGTGAACCTCAGGCAGGTTGAAGCTCTAACTCAAGGGGAAAGTATTCGCTTTTTAAAACTACAGTTTCATCTGAAATGGCATCAATTAGAAGGATGTGATTTCAACATTTCAGGTGTTTAGAAGTGGGTTTTTTTTTTTTCGTGGAAAGGTTATGAACAACTATCTTACCTGCTGCAGATAGCTTTTTGAAAAACAATTTCTGAAGACCGTTTATGCCTGACTGGATTGACGTTAAAGTCTAGTCAGAGAACATCAAACATCATAAAACAGCTCYGATCTCAAAATGTCATCGTGAGTCACGCAAACCCTTTTTACATGTATTGATTTCACATTACAGTTATTAAAGAAGCGTTTGTCTTCCAGCTAGTGTGTGTTTTCAACTATTTCAACATAAACCATTGCATTCATAGTCATCCTTGGAGCAGGTGAGCAGCTCTGACATCTGGGAAACGAAAGGCGTCAGAAGCCAGATGAGGCTGCTGGTGCATTTGATCAGGATTGCTCCAGGGTGCCGTTCCTTGGAGACTTTCTGGGCTCGTCTGGCAGGTGGAAGACCCTGGGTCGAACCCAGAGCATGTAGGAGAGATTAAAAATCTTATCTGGTTTGAAAATGCATGGTGGAGCTGGAAAATGATGCTGGCATCTGGGATCCAGACCCATTTCTTGTTTAGCCAGCAGTCACTACAAAAAGGCTTCAGCAAAACAGTGCATAAATTGACACTAAATTAATCATATTTTAAGCCACTGTTTTATTTGGTTCCTATACTATTAAAAATCGTTAATAGATGATTGGGATGTACTGTGTGCACAAAATTATCTGCTACGTTTCCTAATTTTCAATTAATCCTTTTGAACTTTTCATACCTTTCACACTTTTTAACTTTATGTTAAATATGACTCAAAACTCTTAAAAGATAGTACAAGAAAAACACTAACAACGTGGAAAAATACATAATTTTTGTGTATTTTATGTAGAGCATACAAGTCCGTGCAACAGAGATTCCCAAACTGCGTGTCTCACCTCCCTTCAGATCCTCCTCGTCAAAAGGAAATGGGATGTGAACAGTTTCTCCGTGACCGTGCATACCGTGTCCCTGAGTGTCACACACACACACACACACACACACTTACTATAACACTCTGTAAATAGTGTTTCTAAATTAATAAATGCAGTGTAGCTTTGTTTCAAATACATAACGGAGATTGGTCATGAAGGAAGAGAAGATGTTTTTAGACGGGGAAAGTTAAGGTTTAAGTTAACCTGGAAGCAGGGCAGAACTGTCGAGCGTACCTGGATGAGGACAGCAGAGTGTGTGAGGGCGTCGTTCAGCATCGTCAACACGTTGGATGTAGGKACGACTCCGGGGTCGTGACCCCAAGAGGTGATCAACAGCCTGTCATAGACCTACAGAAAGAACAAAAAAGAATAAAATGTTTATCTCGTGCTATTCAAGACAACTTAGCACATTCAGCAAAAGACTCATTCCACCAAAATGCACCACAGAGCACCACAGGAGGTCGTTCCTACCAGTGGCCATCAAACTCTATAACTCCCCTCTAAACACATGAAACTAGATCATCTGTACATTTATATTAATGCAGCTGTACATTTTTTATTTTTAGTCTTTTTTTTATATTAACTTACTGTATTTTACCCATGACACTCACCAAACGTGCAATATACTAAACATAATCTCTCGTTACATGCTGTACACATTTTCCTAATATTTCTATTATTTTTATCGGTACATTGTTTATGTGTACATAAATGTGCTTATGTTGTAATCCTGGGTGTTTAATCTTATTTTATTCTAGTGCACTTATTTCTTTCTTTTCACATTTCTCTGATCTGAACGGTTGCAGCTGTAACACCTGTAATTTCCCTCAGGGATTAATAAAGTATTCTGATTCTGATTATTTTTATAGCACATCTCTGTTAACCAGTTTATACTAAATAATAACAGAAATAATTATGTACAATCTCGTGCTATATTCTGAGTGTATGTTGGGAATGACTTTAATACTGTATCAAGTGCACAGAGTGTGTTGGGATCAGTCTCAGCTATTATTATATAAAATTTTAGGTAACCTTTTAATGTTGGTTGGTTGTAGCAGTGATCATTTTTTGTGAAATTAAACAAAACACAGTTTTTCCACTTTTGACATTACATTTTTGTTAGCCTATCGTTGACTTTGTATTAAACAAATCAACTTATCTTCTTGTGGTTTATTGTTTTCAACTGTAAAAAGCTGTGTTGTGGAGATACCTACAGCCCTGACACAAAGAGAAGAAGTTAAAAAGAATCTACTATGCTCCCATAATGTCATCCATTTGCATTTAACAGGTGATCCACTGAGAATGTCCTGCACCATTTTCTCCTTTGTTCCCTGTCTCACATTCTCAAGATTAAATTTCAAGAAAGAACCTTGAAGRATGAAAGTGTACAGTGACATAAAGCGGTGGGGAACCTGGTGTTTTGTGAGGGAATGAAGGTTGKGGAGGACAAAGGAGGCAGCCAGGGCTCTGACTACCTGGCTGTGACTCAGAGGAAGGTCAACACTGAAGGAAAACACAAACTCCCCCCACAGCTCCTCAGACCTGCAGCTGTTTAACATATCACATTTGTTTTTTATCTGACATTTTACTTACAGCGTACTACTGCTTTCAACTCCCCAACCTGATCAATTATTAACCAGGCTCACCTGGAAAATGTCGGGCAGTTTTCGAAGCCTGGAACCCTTGGAGAGCAGCAGAGACGGCGGGCCTTGGCCGGTCACATGGTACAGGTACAGCTTGAACCAGATGGAGCTCACCTCAGGGATGGCTGGGCCAATGTGCTGCAGGGAAACACACACACACACACACACACACACACACACACACACACACACACACACACACACACA